GCCCGCGCCTCCCTGGGCTTATCAAACCAGTCTGTCTCCTCCTGACCCAAATGACAGGTTTCAGAAACCAAAAACAAACCACAGTCAATCTCTCGCTCGAGGCCGCTTGGGCAGAAGCCATGCAATGAGGCGGGAGAGGCAAGCAGCGGGCACGCGCGTGGGGGGACAGCCCGCGTCGGTGGGGAACGGGACACGGCACGGCACCGCGCAAGACCGGCTAACACCGAACACCCGGGGCAGGGGGAGGAAGGCACGTGTCAAGCAAACTGAGGCGGTGAGAGTGTCTCTGCGTACGAGCGGACGGGCATGCCCCGGGGAAGCGCCATGCTCTGGGGTGGTCACCACGGGGAGCCGTTACCTTCGCTGTCCGAGACAACGCAATGGGCATCGTCCATGCCGTAGCCCTCCTCGTGCTTGTACGAGTGACTCCTTGGCACGTCTTTGATGTGCTCTTGCACATCAGGCAACGAGTGGCTGGAGCAGAACTGGGAGCAGGGGTCCCCCGCTGACTGGGGGCCGGACCCCCCTGTAGCACGCGACCCTCCCACCACCTTCCCCAGGGGGCTGACGGGGCTCTCCTCCTCCGAGGGCTGCGCACGGACCGGCGCCCGGCCACGGCTCTGGCTCATGCCGAGGGATGAGGGCTTGGAGCCACCTTTCTGGGAGCGCTCCATGCCCTCCCGCTCATAGGACTTGCTCCGGCCGCCCGACTCCCGGACGGAGGACTTTTCCACCCCATAGCCAGAGGAGCGGGTTCTGCTGCCGGTGGAATAGACCCGCTCCTCCTCGTCCACTAGATCCCGGCTTGAGACGCCGTAGTACTTCTGCTGCTCATAGACATTCTTCTTCAGGCCATAAGTGATCTCCTCCTGCAGCTTCTTGGCCCTGGAGGCCACGTTGCTGCTGCCGACCGAGGTTGTCACCGCGTAGGAGGCTAGGTCTGACTCCACGTCTTTGGCTTCTTCGATGGGGGAGAACTTGGAGATCTTCTGCTCCATGCCCTGCTTCCTGTGCTTGCTGCGCTTCGAAGAGACGACGGCGGGCGCCAGGTTCTTGGATGAATGCTTCGGCAGTGCTATACCAGAGCCGTGCTTGTCAGCCCGCGAGGAGTGCCGGTACTCACTGTCCCCGTAGTAGTAGGATGAGCTGGCAGAGCTCCCCAACACCCTGCCATTGCTCTCCGCGCCTCGGTGGTAGCTGTTCTTCCCTCGATGGTCAGGGCCGTGGTGGTCGTAGACATCCTCCTCGGATTCCTCTTCGGCTTTAGTGTAGCAGCAGGGCCGGCTGGAGCCCTCGGCGTCCCCCAGCTCGCTCTTCTCTCTGCCATGGCGGCTGTCGGTGGCTGTGCCAGCTGGCTCCGCTTTCTGTCCCTCCACCGCTGGGCTCTCCTTGGTAAGCTCCCTGATGTCCTCGATCATCACGTAGTT